AATAATTTTTAATACCTTTTTCAATTATAGAAGGAGTTGCTGGAGGTAACAGCAGATAATGGTGTCCCCCCCACACCTCACCCCCCCTCCCTCAGGCATCTCTGTTCCTTCCAAATTTATTGGCAACAGATGACTCATTTCACCTCTGCCCAAGATGACTGCTTTACAACTCTTCCAGGAGCATCTGGCCTTAAACGAGGTTACTCAGGCTCAAACTGATGAAATAATTTCTATTCTTGTGCCTATACAGACCATGCCTGTAATACCCAGTGCCTGAGACTATAAACCAACTGAAAATCTGCCAAACATTTAGACGTGACCTGAAAAAGCAAAGTGGTGCTGTGGCCACAGGCCTGGCTGCCATGGAGAGAGGCAAAATCTGTCATAAAGTGCCCTGTGAAGTTTTTTGGGCTAGGCACCCCCAAAGCTGGGTGGGGACTTCGGAGAAACTAAGCTCATATTCACACCCACAAGAGCTTTTCAAGTCTGTGCTAGACAGCATTGCTTAAATATTTCTCTTTCCATGCACAGGCATGGAAACATTTTCAGTCACGTTTGATGCAACTGCCTCGCAAGCACAGAGAGATGAAGCGCTGCTGGGGGAGATTATTGAGCAACTCTGGGCTGTCAGGGAGCTCCTTTGCTTGGAAAGGTACCACCTCCAGCCATTTTTAGCCTGGTTTCCTAAGGGAACATGTGTGATCACTCTGCCAGTCCCACACTAAAAGCTGAAGCCAGCTGGCCAGTTGCCACCAAGTTCTCCTCAGAGGTCAAGCTCCATCCCAAATGTGATATCCCAAATGTGATAAAAAAAATGTGGCAAAAAAGCAGCACATGGAGCTCAGGGTAGACACCAGACCCTGCACGTGGAAGAGAGTGCTTAACTGCTTTAATCATGTAAAATGCTGCCAAACCTGCGCTTGGTTAGATAACGATGTCTCTTGTTTCACTGAACCATTTCCTCCGTTTCCCTGGCCCTCGGGAGCCGGCTTTTCCTTTGAAGCCGGGTACCCAGCCTGGAGCCGATGGTCTTTGCCTGGCAGCTCTCCTGGCAAGGTGGGCTGGGCTCGTGGAGGGGGATCCTCCACGGATCCTCCACGAACTCCAAGGTTCACTGAGAGAAGAGAACGAGAAGTTTGAGACAAGCAAAGTATTTAATGCAGACATCTTCACTCGAGCAAGCCACATACGTTTACTTTTCAAGCTGTGCTTTACTTATTAGACATAGGGCAAGAACCTCAGCACACACCTCAAGGTTATTTATTGTGACCTGTCAAGTGTAATTGCAGAGGTGAAAACAATCTCACCTGTCTCCTCAAGTGCTAATGCTGTAGGAAAGTCTTTCATGTGGTTCACACTTGTATTCTTTTTGTAATTTAATGCCACCAGACTTCAAATGTTTATTGTAGTCAGTAGTTATTTTCCCTCCTCGGTCTTTAACACATGCTAATGTTCACCATCACTTATCATCTGGGAACTATTAATATTAAGCTTGTTTAATGTTTCCAGGCCAATCTCTGGAGTGTTTTAGCAACGTTAATAATTAATATGGGAAGACGAGCATTTTAGAGGCCTGGAGCAGTTCAGGGCAGGCTCACGGTTTTGAGCCACAGTGTAAATGATCTGTTCACCATCACAACTTAAAATATGTCTTAACTTTTTATCACTGTAACAGTGAGGACCTCAAATTTTTTTTCTTTTTCATTAGCAAAGGCACAACCCTTGCTCCTCTCAAAACAAAATCATCTTTTAATGCTCCATGGCAGTGGTGACAGACCATGTTTAATAGCACAGGTATGGCAAACAGTTTTGAGAATATGATTTGTTGTGACCTCTGGATGGATGGATTATTTTGAATTTATTTTACTGACCATGGTTTCAGTTGTTTGTTCTTGAAAAAACTAAGAAATGAGAGTGTTTTGGATACAAACTGACCCATCAGGAACAATTTTGTGGTATCCAGGGACCTCGGAGGACGAAAAATGCTGAGGATGAGCATCATTTCAGAGCAATACAAAGTCTAAGCATCATTTCAACAGCATGGGAACCTTGATAGTGATCAGACCTCCTGAACTGGGCTGCCTGCAGAGGGCACACCAGGGACCACATGGAATCCATGTGGATGAGCCCAAGAAGAGGGGGACAAACAAGTCAGGAGAGAAAAAAGAACTCTTCCCACAGGCAGACAGCAAACAGGTGGCAAAGCTGAGGTATCAGTCTCTATTTTCTCAGGGTTGTGCCTTTGTTGCCAGACTCTGCTGCCTTCCCCACACAACCACTCTTCCTTAAGCAAGGGAGGATTTACAGTGCCCATATTGGCACTTCCTCACAGCACTCACAGTCAGGGAGAACCAAGTGCTACACAACCACTGAAAAAGAACCCTCCAGGAGTTTCTAAACTGCCCCACAACAATCTGTGTGCTTGTGCCTCCTTTAACTCAGAGAAGGGAGGAAGGAGAGACATCCTGCTCGAAGTTAAGCAGCAGGCAGAACCAGAAATACAAGATTATTGGAATTATTCTTGCATGCTTAGCCTAGAAGTTTTATTTTGACCTCCTCTGGATTTCTTGTGCACCACTGACATGTCAGCCTTTCCTTCACAGTTAGAAATCAAATAAAAAGTCTGAGATGGAGCAGTGGGGAAAGGTCTACCGTGGGGCTGCAGGTGTATTTGATCCACACCACTCCTGTGGCCAGACACATCCTCCAAATTCTCGTGATGTGTTTACATCAGGTGGCCGTAAAATGAAATGCTTTTTCCCTAAACCTCAGAAAAACAACCCAGTTTCACCAGTAAAATTTATTTCAAGTAAGGAACCCTTCACTGCATAAGCACAGTGGGGTGCACCCCTGGGTTTGTGCAGGACCCATCCAGTATCAATGCAGCCACAGTCTCCACTTGCAAACCACTCAAACACTGAAGGAGGTCTGATCCTCAGCATCCTGGATATTTTCCCCCACAAGAAGCAGGCAAGCAGACAGAGATACCTGGGATAACCTCTGGCTCCTTGGCACTGCAACAGCGCTTCTCAGAGGTGTTCACATTCCAGTTGTTTGGAGAACAAAGAACAAGAGAAGCTTGGCTGCCCATCCACAATTCTGGCAGGGGACCTCAGTCCATCTGTCACGGACCGGTGTCGGTTTGGGTGCCCGGCTCAGAAATGAGGCTGGGCAGCAGCATCCTCGCTGTCTTAAATGGTGGATGAGCTGTGCCCTCTAGTGGGATCTGCCTCAGCAGGAGCTGCACCAGAGCCTTCCAGGGGAGGCTGTCCCAGCCCACACAAGGGACACACTCCCCTGGAGGCCTCCAGGGCATTTACATCAGTCAGGACATGGCACTTTGTTTGGGCACCTCATCCCCACCATCTTCTTTTATAAAAGCCTTTCACAAAGGCCTCTGAGATGTCACATCTGCTGGGGCAGGGGAGACTGGTATGAAAATAACAGAGCAGCACAAACTGGGAATGAAGGTTCTCTTAGCAGTGACAAAGCCATCCTTTCATAAGGCTTCAAAGCCTCCTAGCATTTTTTTTTCTACTGCAAATTAGATGCTTAGTTTAGGTTCGTGATGCTACCAGAGCCTGTAGGTCCAAACCAGCAGGTAAAATCATTGCTGTGGGCAAGAATTCCTGCTGCAGCAACCCCAACCCCCAAGGTATCCACACTCTACCCTTCCAAAATCCTGAAACATCTTCCTACCCCCTTGCTGGACCAGTGCAACTTTGCACAGGGTCACAGAGACTCACACTGAAGGACTGAGTAATCCAAAGCCCTAGGAAAAAAAAAAAAGCCTTTAAGTCAGCTCCTTTGAGAAACAAGTTATAAGAAAGGGGTGGGAGCACATTAAACTTCTTCTGGGCTGGAAAAACTATATATATTCATAGGCTTGTTAGGAACTGTGTTCAGAGGATCCCAAATCCAGCTTTAGCCTCTGCAGAGGTGATGGAAAGGACCTGGGAAGGTAAATTGTACATGGCTTTTCATTATTGAAATGGGAAGTAATTGAACTGCAGTGTTTAGGCCTTGGAAGTCACAAGACACATTCTTCATTTCAAAACTAGGATGATATTGTTTTTAAGCTTTCCTGCAGGACTTCTGCTTTTCACCCTGTTCCCTATAACCATTAGGACTGGATTTCGTTATATCTGTTTCCCTTCCAGATATCTTACTTGAAGGAAAGACCCTGACTATGACAAGAGGAGTGACAGAAACACAGAATTATGTCATTCAGATGTTTAATTATCAGATATTCCCATTCTCACTACAGACCTGTCATCTCAATGCCATATAACATGCTGTGATTTCTCTCTCAAGATGTTAAACAAGACCAGCCTTCTTCAAAACCCTGAGCCCCAGCTGCCTGGGGTAACCAGCTATTACCTTAATTAAGAGGCAGTAAAATGCTCACTTTGTACCTCCCAAACTCAGGAGCAGCTGTTTTGCAGCTGAAGCATTTTGCCAGACAAGTGGGCACGTCTTCTCCCACCAAACAAATCCCCTTTGCAATCCCAAGCCCGGGATATCTGAGCCTGTACCTGGCTCAAGACCAAAGCCAGGTCTAATGTTCATCAGCAGAAATTGCCATGTTATAAAAATCCAGAGAGATTTTTATACACGACACCCAGCCCTCTCTAATCCTAAAAGGGGTTTTACCCCTATTTCTTTGGTAGCTGGGCTGTTCTTGGATCCCAAAAGCATTGGGATTTTTTTTTTGAGGGGGGGAAGCCCCACCCATCCATTCATCCATCTGTCTGCCCATCCATCCACCCGGCCACCGCCAAACCCCAGCGTGGAAACGGGGAGGAGGGAGGGATGGAAGGACGGAGGGAGGGATGGAGGGATGCTGGGGGCATGGCCACTGTGACAACAGCCTCTTGTCGTCTTTCCTGGCTGCCAGACCTTCGACCTGGTGTCAGGTCTAAAGTTCGCTGATCTCGGGCTGCCTCCCTCACCTTTGGCACCGCTCCTGGTGCCGGTGCTTTCGCTTTTAGCTCTCCCGGCACGGAGACGCTCAGACACACGGATGGGGCTGTCATCCTGTCACCCCTGACACACGGACTGGAAGCCTGGCAGGACAGCAAGGCTTCGGGAAGGTAAAGGCATCCTCAGCTCAGGAATTCCCCACCGGGCAGGCCCCCAGCCCTCTCCAAGGTGCCTTTGCCAGGCAAGCTCTGGAAATCCTCCCATCCTCGTGGAGCAGCCTCGCATCGTGCACGAAGGGTGCACGAAGGGTGGCACGGTCCTCAGTGACTCCCTGCCCAAGAGAAGAGGTTTTAGGGAGCTCTCTGCCCTACCCCCATCCTCCCAGAGCTGTAGGAAAATCTCAGCAGAGCTCTCTGCCTCTCCCAGGGCAGTCCCTTTTATTGCTGCCTTTCTTCCCTGCAGCAATAAGGTTAATGATCCTTATTCCCTCCCCTTTCCCTTTGAGGGGAGCTGCTCGTTCTGAGAAATCATCACTGTGTAAATCTAATATTTACACATCGTGTCTGCCGTTGGGATTTTTGTATCCCCTGGTAACCCTGCCTTAAGTGAACTTTCTGAGTGGTCACTCTCTTATTTAAGCCAGAGCTTAAGCGAGTAGGAGGAGGCTCCCAAAAGCAGAGGAGAGCTTTGAGCTGAATGCTAGAAGTTAACTGGGGAGGTAGGTGCATGGCAACTATCTTGGGTGGGGGAAGGGGGGAAGTGAAGTATCTAAATCTGAAATAACCTGAAATATTGTGTTCAAAACCTGCAGGGTTAAATACTGCAGACTTACACAGTTAAGTGTTAAAGTCCTGTAATTTTTCCGAGGTGCTTAGTAATTTCTGTTCTAGCTCACTCTTGCACGCCTGCAGAAACTCAGCAAATGGCTTTAATGGTATTAGGACCTAGAAAAGCTTAGACACCTGTTAGACATCATCATACTTAAACAACACCAATTTCCCAGGAAGTTAAATAGGGTTTTAAATAAGACTTCTCAGTGACTCTAACCCCAAAGGTATGCATGGTTTTTCTTTTACTACTGCTTTCCTTTGGAAATTAAAGGCTTATCCCCTGACAATAAATACACCAGCATCCCTCCAGCCCAGGCTAAAGATGCTGAACACAATTTCCTGGGTGCAGCAATGTTCAATCCTCCATTAGGAAGTGAGAAATGATTTGTGTTGTGGCTGTTTGGGAACTCACCTTCAAGACAAGTGTAGGATCGAGCAAGCCTGCCCCTAATATCTGCTGCTGTCACAAAATATTAATCTGTACCTGGAGACGAAATCCACCAGCAGGGTTTTTACAGCTGATTGAAGATAAATTGGTTTATTTTCTTTGACTACACTGCATCTGAGTAGGTTGAGCTTTCCCTGCCCCTCAGTGTGGCCTTTTGGCACAGAGGAGAGGACCTGCACCACTCAGCTGTTGCCCAGGCTGCTCTCCAAATTGATGACATTGGATATCTGGATGCTTTTCCTATAATCCCTAATCCAGCAAGTGCAGGGTTTTACTCTGTACTCTTCCAACACAAAAAGAGGACAAAGCCCCCACCATTTCCCCTTAAATCCTGTTTTCCATTGAACCAGAGCAAAGCCACTTGTTTTGCTTCCTTGCCATGCTCCTCAGGTGGGAAGGGAGAGTCACCCTTTGCCTCTTAACATGGGAAAAAAATTGTTTCAGTAAATCTCAGGTGAGTTTTGTTCCAGCATCAACCCATCTTTCTAAGGTTGAACAGAGAGCAGAGGGAAATGATGAGAAACTGTGTTTAATACAGACAACCTTGAGTAGTTTTCAAGCAGCCTCTTGTTTCCTTAGAGAGTTTTATGGCTTATAACTGACAATAACTGCCCAGAATGGATGGCAGTCTTGTTTCCAGCCTACAAAGAGGCAAATGTATATAATCAATACCCTAAGGAGAATATTTATGCTGTGCCACAGGGCTTATCTTTTTCCTGCTTGAAAAATAAGACTAACTAGCTGTTCTGCACAAACTGTGATCCTGCTCTTCATCACAGGGCTGCATGAGCAGGGGGAAATGATGTTACCCGTGTGTTTTTTAAGGGGATTAAAGCCTGTCTCACCCAGCAGAAAAATTACTTGGATCTAAAGATACAGACCTGGGTTCAGCCAAGGAACTTTCCTCTTAACGACAGCCTTAATGAAGAATTAAAGGTCTGGAGCCTGCCAGATTGCAGACGGAGGACAGGCAAAAGAAAGGAGACACGTGGGATGAGCAGCTCTCAGGAACAAGGGGCTTTTGTCAGGGCAGGGAGCTGCAGAGAGCAGCGAGCTCCACTGCTGGTGCTGCTCTAGGTGTCTCTGTAAAGGCACTTCTTGCTCACCAGCCAAATTCCTGAGGCCCAAGTAGAAATGGCACTGATTCTCCATGATAAATCTTGCAGATCCCTGCTGTTTGCCTCACCAGGGCTTGCTTCCACGTGGAGGGAAATCGCCCCAGTCCAGCAGAGCTCACCCTGGCATCCTGCTCAGCTCAGCACCCCGTGACCTTTCCCCTCTCCTTTATTACTGAGTATTTTTGGAGGAGGAGCTCTGCGAGGAGGAACCAGGACAAAGCAAAACAAAAGTGTTGTTTGCTGCCCTGCGCTGGCAGTTCCCACCAGCAGCGGGGTGGTGACACTTCCTTGGCTCAGGGCTGGGAGGAGGGGACACTCGTGTCACCAGGGAGGGCTCCCACCGACCAGGGAACAGCCAAGGCTCTGCAGCAGCTCTCTCTCTTCCAGCCAGGTTTGAGGCAATCCCTTCACTGCGTCTGTGCTTCCCTGCCATGCCTGGGGACAGCAGGGTGACATGGGGGTGGCACTCCAGGGGTTTGGCTTGTCTGGGGGTCTTTAAGCAGGATGCAGAAGCATTTGTCACCTGCTTTGTGTGCTGCTGCTCCTCAGGGCTGCTCAGGCTAGATGTCTCACTCCTGAGGCTCTCTTGATGTAACTTCCAGCCAGGAAAAGTGGGGAACATCAGCCTGAGCTTTTCACCAGGACTCTGGAGAGCAAGGCACAGCCAGAAGGGATTTCCCTCTGCCAGGAAATTCCTCCAGCTCCTCCTGTTACAGGAGATGCACCAATCTCCTCAGCAACATCCAAGGAGGCTTTTGGCATCAGTTTTCTTCCTAAACATCTCCACCTTCTGGTCATAACTGACAGTGGCAGATGCTTCGATGCATTAAATTCACAACTTCTGATATTAATGGCTTTGATTTTGTTCCAGCCTGTGTTGGAGTTAAGCCCCAGCTGGCAGTCAGGAGCTGCTGCAGGAGGCTCAGCTGATGCTGGGATCACTTGCAGGTGTGCACTGAGCAGAGCTGGTTTCCTTGCAGGACATGGCACAGACGGTGACATTGGGCACCTCCCCAGAGGGCCCTCGTCCCTCCTACATGTACAAGGTGGTCCTGCTGGGCAGCATGTCCGTGGGCAAGTCAAGCCTGGCCTACAGATACGTGAGGAACGACTTCAGGGAGCTGCTGCCAACCGTGGGATGTGAGTGAGGGGCTCTGCACAGGGGATCAGACCTGAGGCACTCCCCTGCCGTGGGGTGGGATGCAGGAGAGATGCTTGGTGCATCTTGCAGTAGCACAGACCCACTTTGGAACAGGGTACAGATTTGTCCAGAAGCCAGAACCTCCCTCTTCACATCTCTGCAGGCCATTTCCTCAGCACCAGGCCACAAACAAAGCCACATCCACATCACACAAATCCGGCTTCGTGCTGCCTTTTAGAGGAGGTGAGGAGCAAAATGAGTAAACTGTGCAGCTCTTTGCATGCTGTGCTGCCTTCCCAGCTATTCAAACACCCCAGGAGGGTGCCTAAGAATATTCTATTAGAATGGTTTGTATTAAAGATCACGTAGTTTCAATTCCCCCTGCCTAGGTCCTACAGCACCTAGACATTGTATATATTCATTTTACATGTTGCACCTGGGTTTTGCCTTAAGAAGGCACAGCAGGCAAAGAGGCTGTGATCCCACCTGTAACTGAAGAGCCAGCTGGTGGGGCAGAGCAAAATAGAGTTTCTCCTCTTGTCCCTCTTGTCCCTCTTGTCCCTGGAAGCCAGGAGGGAAGGAAAAGATGGAGGCTTCCTTCCAGCAGGAGCCCTTCCCGTGGATATTCCAGTTCACAGCTCAGCGAGGTGGAGCTGCCTCTCTGTCTGGGGGCTATTCTGCACAGCTCACAGTTATCCAACATCAAACCTGCTGTCATCCACCCAAATCTGCTGCCAGGAAAGGCCACCTCAGCCTAGTGCTGGTGATCACAAGTCCCCCCTGGATTTTGTGCCTTAGAACATCATTAATGACTTTCAGGATGGGTTTGGCCTCAGGGCAGGGGATCTGAGATCTTTGCTCTTGCTCCAAGTGAACACACACCCTGCATCCTGCCTGCAGGCTCCTTCTTCACACAGACACTCGACCTGGACGAGGCCACAGTCAAGTTTGAGATCTGGGACACAGCAGGCCAGGAGAAGTACCACAGTGTCTGTCACCTGTACTACCGGGATGCCCAGGCTGCCCTCCTCGTTTATGACATTGCCAACAAGGTAAGGCAGGACCAGGCCACACCCAGGGGTGATTTCTGCTGCCATGAATCCCATCCATGGGTGATTTATCCCTAAATGTGTTTGAGGGCTGGTGTTTCCCTGAGAGGGGCAATTTAAACCTCTCCACCCTCTTTGGTTTGGTGCCACCCAGCCGGCTTGGTCTGAGACAAAGGGATTAAATCAAAACCAGATCACTAGGTGGCTTTGTCTCCATCTCTCCAGCAAACATTCAGCAGAGCAAAGCTGTGGCTGGAGGAGCTGGAGAAGAGATTCCTTCCCAATGAAATCGTGATTGCTCTGGTGGGCAACAAGACAGACCTTGCTGCTGAGCGAGAGGTCACCACAGAGGTGAGCGCCTGAGGTTCCCTCATCACCCCTCACAGGAAGCACTGGATACAGCCAAGGAAAATTTCCAAGGAAAGCCAAGAATTTAAGAGGCTTTCAGACACCTCCAAAGTCCCTGTGCACTTATTGACCCACCAAGAAATCCACCATAAAACTGAACAAGCAGCCTCAGAGGGGGCAGGGCAATAACTCTGCTTGTTTCCGCTTAGGAGGCAGAAGAGTTTGCACAAACAAAGGACCTCCTGTTCATGGAGACATCTGCAAAATCCAACTATCAAGTAAATGATGTCTTCATGTCTGTAGGTGAGTTATGGGATGGCTCTAGGTGAGAGCAGAGGCAGATGAACCATGGCCCCAAGCCCCTGTATGGTTCAGCCTCTTCATTGCTCATACTTGTCACTGAGATGTTCCACCCAGCCAGTCCAGTCTGTCTCTGAGGCAGAAGGATGGACAGATCCATCCCAAGATATTCCAGTGTCAGAGAGGGCTTTCAGGCCTTCTCCCAGAGCCACAATTTTATTTTGCATTGGTATCCAGTCTAGGTGTGATGGTGTCCCCAGCCCAGCTGTTCAGAGAACTGCAGGACGGTCCCCTGGGGTAGGACATGGCGTGGCCATTGCATCCCAACCACTGGCAGGAGAAAAAAGCCCTTCTTTTGTGTTTCCTCCTAGTCCAAGAGCTCCTGAGGAGGGAAAAAGAGAAGGCATCCAAGCCATCCCCACATGGGAGGTCGACCGTGGACCTGAGGGGCAGCGAGGCGAGGCCGAGGTGCTGCCGGAGCTGAGGATGTGACACCTGCAGCCAGCAGGGCTGGACTCAACCCCCGTGAGGGGCAGTGACAAAGCAGGGGGCACTCAGAACTGCAGGGGACAGCTCAGCCTGACCACCCTCTCTCTCTCAAAGCCAGTTCAGAGCCCATCCTGGGTCCTTTAGCACCATCTTCAGCCAGGAGATAGAGCACAGGGGTTTCTTCCACCAATCTTCCATTTGCAGAAAAAAGCACAGCCTACCAGGAACACTGCCACCAACCCTGACTGGTGACATCCCCCCACCACCAGCTGTCACCTCTTTCCATCTGAAAAGGGAGGGTTTAATTTCCCAAACCAAAGACTCCAGTGGTTTTACACCCAGGCTGCAAATAAAGTGAATGTTGCCCTAAAGATGTGTTGTTTTTATTTTTCATGCTGTCCATGTCAGCCTGTAGGGAACCACAGGAAGGCTGGAGGTGGCAGAGACCAGAGCCAGTGCTCTCCTCACCCCACCCACCCCATTTCAGAGGGTCACAGCCCATCCTTGGGAGCAATCACTGAGCCAGAATGGGGCCAAAGCTTAAGTGTGGTGTCACTTTGCCCTGTGCTCTGCTGGGCCACCTCTTCACACAATTATGAGTCCACTGTGAGAGCTCACCTTGGCTGGAAGAGAAGAAAAAACCACCTGTGCTGTCTCCAAAGACAGCACCACCCACCCTGTCTGCAGGGCAGCAATCTGAGTTTTTGGGGCATGGCAGTGTGGTGCACAGAGCATCACATTCTCCCCAAGTTTCTGATCCCAGCTTCACAGAAATGGGGTGGTCTTTCTCATCCCATGGAAACGAAGGTGTTGGGGGCACCCCTGGGAGCTGGCACACTCTGGGATACACCTGGGAATTGGGTCCCTCTGAGCTCATTTTTAGGGTGTTTCTTGGGCTGTGAGGGGATAAACCTGAGAGGGAAGGGCTGTCACACACTGCCAGGGCAGGCAGAAAACCATGGTGACCACACAGATTTGGGGGTCACACTCTGTTGGATCCCAGAAACCTGGGATTTTTGTGCTTTCTGTGCTTTCTGGTACTGACCTGAGGCCTTGGAGAAGGCTCCAAATTTGAGTGATGGAGTTAAAATCATGGGTGTGTAGTGAAATAGAAGTGTGTGTTTTCACATGGTGAAGGGTTTGGAATTTGAGGGTTTTATAATACAGTAATAGGTATGGGACAAGATGGAGGATTTTGGGTGGTGTCTCTTTCTGTGCTCATCTTCCTTCTTCTTCATGGTTTCAGGCAGTAGTTTCTGGTTGGACAGTCAGTGCTGCACTGAGGGTCACAGGAGTTTGATTACTGGGTCAAAAGTATAAATAATGTAGGTGTTAATTCTCTATTGGACTGTTCAGCTTTAAGAGACCTTGTAACTAGCTAGGTTCATCTCCATTTTGCTCACTTTTAGCTGGTAGTTAGAAGCGTTGCAGAACTTTCTGTACTTTAGATAAGATTTAATAAGCAACCAAGCCCGAACATGAGAAAATTCGTTTCCTTCGTGTGTTTTTTAATCCTGGCTCTGAGCGAAGACAGAAGAGACTCCAGACAAGTCACGAATTAAGTGGTACAAAACCACCACCTCTGCTACCACACCCTCCCCACGCTGCCTTTTGGAACAGAGAGGCTGGGACACAGGGGTGAGAGGAGAAGGGTTTTTATTGTCAGCTCCAGTTTAGGGGTTCAGCTGCTGCTGGGGAGGGTGGGGGTGCGGGTTGGAGGCTGCACAGCCTCGCTGCTGGGCGCTCCCAGGCAGGGCTTGTCGCCTCCCGAACCTCCCCACCGGCCGGATCCCGCGGCCCGTGTACCACGAGGGGTCGATGTCCTGGTCTGGAAGGGAAAGCGGGAATCCATCAGCGGGCAGGAGGGTGTGGAAGGGGACGGGGCATTGGAGTGAGGGATGGAGAACACCAGGAGAACAGGGAAGGGGATGAGGAGGACAGAAGCTGTTGCAAAAGCTGTTTCAAAGCTCCTGCACAGTGGCAGCACCCCCTCACCCCCCCAAGTGCAGCTGAGGGGGAGCAGAGGGGCTGGAGGCAGGGGGTTGGCTGGGGACAGTCCCTTACTCATGTTCTCCTTACTCCTGATTTCCATGGAGCGCTCCAGAACGCGGCCCTGGGTGGTGGGCAGGGTCAGGCAGATGAGCAGCAGGCACAGGAGGCAGGTGAGCACCAGCTTCATCCCCAGCACTTCCAGGCAGCAATGACTTGGTTGTGAAATCTCCTGAGCCCTGCTGAGGACTCTGATGTGACTGCAGGAGAGAAGGGATTTGTCTGTTCATGTATGTCCCTGCCCAGGGGTTTTGCTGGGGCTGACACCTCTGGGGAAAATATCACCTCCAAACACGAGCTGCACAAACCTCACGGTCATTCAAATAGGTTTTGATCCTTGCCTAGTGCCTTAGGTCAGGCCCAGTAAACCTGTGAGACCCCACAGCCCAAGGGATGGGGTCCAGCACTGAAATGCAGGGCTGGCTGCACCAAGCAGAGGCTGCAGAGGCACAAAGGGGCTATGGATGGATGGATGGATGGATGGATGGATGCATGATGGATGGATGGATGATGGATGGATGGATGGATGATGGATGGATGGATGGATGGATGGATGGATGGATGATGGATGGATGGGTGATGGATGGATGGATGGATGGATGGATGGATGGATGGATGGATGGATGGATGATGGATCATGACCACCTCTGCATCCTTGGCACCCATTCCTGGCCACAGCTGCTGAAATAATAACCTGGGATGCAGGTTAAATGGGCACTGAGGGGCTGAGCAGGATTGTGCAGGGCGGGCTGGGTGATGGGCTGGGTCTCTGCAGCCACCCAAAATGAGGGAGCAGGGCAAGAGATGGAAAGGGAGAGCTGGGCGAGGCAGGACTCGGTGAGGCTGCAGCAGCTCCATTTCCAGCCACTTTTGCCAAGGAAAAGTTCGCAGCGTGCTGAGCAGGACACAAACCGGTTTTGCCGTGGCCACCAACTTTTGGAACCTCCCCCTCCCCCCCAGCCGGCTGGACAGACGCGAGGACAGACACACGGAGGCAAAGCAGCGCTCGGGAATTACCCAGCGACAGGAGCATCACCTGAGAGAGAGAGAAAAGCGGGGCTGCACTTACCGGGGCGAGGCGAGCTGAGGTGCCTGGCTGCTGTCCCGCTGAGCCAGGTGGCGACTGTGTGGTCCGGAGTCCCCTCCTGTCGCCGCTTTTATGGCCGGTTCCGTGCTGATGTCAGAGCTGAGCTCCAGCGGGGACCGAGCCGGGGCATCTCCCCTCCCCGCTGTCCCCTCTCATCAAATCAGCACAGGGATGGATTTTCATGACTCAGAAGGGACCAGCGTTTTGTCTTGCGCTGGTTGAGGGAGGTAGTTTGGGAATATGTTCATCCTCATCCTCAGCTCGGCGTTATTTCGGACAAGGGGAAGTTTTCTGCTCCTTCATCCACCCCCCGCCGGTGCCCATGCCGAACTCGGTGTGTGCTGCTGCTCTGAATGCTGCAGGGATTTACACTGGTACCACCACCCTTTCCCCTCCACTCTCCACAAAAAAACCAAAACAAACCTGCTTTAGGGAAAGCAGAACACTAAATACAGGGAATAAAAGAAGGCAATGTGCTGGGGCACACGGGCTGCCAGGAGCGGGCTTGTTCTCTGGGCACGAAGGCTCTAAATCCCCACATCCCCAATCCCATTTTAAATGGATTTTAAAGATTTCTGATGTTTATTCTGCTGGATGTGACACTGGAGGAGCCAGCTTGGATGGTCAGTTGGTGTCCAAACAGACAGAAGTGGGACTGGAGACATCCCAAAACAGGGATGTGTCTGTGTTGGCAGGATTGTGATGACACTGTCACCAGTGGGCTGTGGGCAGGGGGAAGGTCTCTGTCTGGGGCTGGCTTTGCCCTGGGACAGAACTCCACCTCCTGCAGTGCCTGATCACTGTTCTGGGGAAAGGTGGCAGGAGCAGTGTGGGACACAGGGCCATTGCCACAGATGTGCAGCAAAGGAGGGAAAGGGCAGAAGAGAGAACCTGCCCCACCTTGGGCTCTGGGCAGAGAAATCCTCACCCCAGGCCCATCAGGCTTCTCTCTACCCCAGGGTTGCCGCTATTTTAAATGCAGATTTAAAGCAATCCCTTGGTTCTGTGGGCTTGTGTTTCTTGCGGCTTCAGCTGCCAGACTGGGTTCAGGGTTTCCATGCAGGTTGGAGCCGTGCATTTATTTCAGGATCAGCCCCTCCTCTGCATCCCCTCTGCCCACCCAGCTTCACCACTGGGCATCACTGACCCACAGTCATCACACCCATGGCTCTGTGGCCAGTGTCTGGCCAGCCAAGTGGCCATCCTGACCTGCACCATCTGCCCCCATTTGGCTCAAGTGCTGCTGATTTTGCTCCTGTTCTAAAGCAAGGATGGTTAAAGAAATGGATGGACATGGAGCTGCTGGAGCAAGTCCAGAGGAGGCCATGACGATGCTCTGAGAGCTGGAGCCCCTCTGCTCTGGAGCCAGGCTGGGACAGCTGGGAGTGTTCACCTGGCTCTTAGACCCCTTCCAGTGCCTAAAGGGGCTCCAGGAGAGTTGGAGAGGACTTGGGACAAGGCCTAGGAGTGACAGGATTAGGGGGAATGGCTTCCCACTGCCAGAGGGCAGGGTTAGATGGGATATTGGGAAGGAATTCTTTAATGTGAGGGTGGTGAGGCCCTGGCACACTTTGCCCAGAAAACTGTGGCTGCCCCATGACTGGAAGTATTCAAGGCCAAGTTGGACAGAGCTTGGAACAACCTGGAATAGTGGAAAGTGTCCCTGGCCTTGGCAGGGGGTGCAAGGAGACGAGCTTTGAGCTCCCTTCCAACCCCAAGCATTCTGGGATTGCACGGGAAGAGAAAGGAGCCTTTGCTTGAGTGTGCTGAAAAAAACAGACACTGGGAAATGGGTGGGTGGTTCTGGACACAAAATTGGCTTTATTGCATGATTTAGTGTACATTTATTATAATCTCTACACAGGCAAATGGGTCAGGAAACCAGCAAAGAGCAACTGCTTGGTCTACTGAGCAACTACTGAGCAACTCCTTGGTCTGCACTGCTGAGGTTCCCTGTGAGGATTCCTCCACAGGGTCAGGCATGGAAGGACTGGAGTCAGGGCTGGAACCAGACAAGCAAGAGATGGGGTGAGGGCTGAACCCTGATGCCAGAAGGGTGGGTGCAAACCCTTTGGATGATCTTGGTGGAGCTCCCTTCTTCCAGCCAAGGAGCTGCCATCCCAGCACAGCCACGAGCTGGATCTGGTGAAGCTGCAGTGTCTGGAGAGCTTCTGTGACAGCAGAGGTTTGCACTTACCCTTCTGAGCTTCAGGCCAGAAGGATTTCATTTCAAATTTAAAAAATGGATTTGTTTCCAGCTGGAAAGGCCAGACTATGGACTTACAATATTCTCTGGAATGACCACAGGACCAATTCCTAGGCAGTTAGCAGCCTCTACTACTACCAAAGCCAAACAAATGTGTTACTTGCATGAGAATTCACCCTACTGCTCGTGATTAAAGTGGTTTTAGCTCAGATGCACAGGAATTGCCTAAAATGATCCAGCCTGGGTGGCCATGGAGGGGATTGAGCATTGGTCTGACTCCCTGCTCCAGCTGTGAGTTCCTCCCCACTTCGCCCACCAGAGAAGGAGGGAAGGAAGGAGGGAGGAAAGTGGGGGGTGAACAGGACAGGGACTGAGCAAAAAACCTCTTCCAAAGTGACCTGCAAGAAAAAGCAACCCTCTGCCCATCCTGATGCTCTGGTCATCGATATGGAGCCAGCACTGATCCACTGGGCCTAGTGGATGTGGGAGTTGAATATTGAAGGAAAATAAATTTTTGGGGGGAGCTAGGGGAGGGTGACACCAGGGGCCCAGGGCTGCTGCAGCCCCCAAAGGTCATCACAGCCCCCCAAAGGATGGGATGGTCCTAAGAGGCTCTACAATGCCATCATCACCAGGGACAGGGGACATGCTCATCCACCAAGTGCATCTTGGCAGGGGCTGACCCCTCTGTGGAGCAGAGGAGCACCTACACTCTGCTTGCTGCTTGCTGATACAGCCTCACATGGAGTGGAGAGATCTTAAAGAGTTGGAAAAGCAAACCAATCCCAAACAAGCCCTCCAGCTTTTCGTCCCACTTTTCCTGGCACTGCTTTCCTCAGGCCTCACCTCACTCCCATCCCCAGGTGGCCACAGCTGCTTCAGGCACGGTGGCAAAGCCTCAGTGGGTGTTTGCATGGCTTGGGGCAAAGAGCTGCTCTCTGGGAGGGGACCAGCACTGCTCTCATCCTGCTTTGCTGCTCAGGGAAGGGAAGCAAAGCTCCACAGGATGTGGCAGGGAACTGGGACCAGCATCAGGACGTGAATCCCAGCACTGGGATGCTTGGGTCCCTCTTCTGTCTGAGGTACCCCAAGGGCATTCCACACTCACTGTCAGCTCCTGTCCCTGCTCAGCAGCAGAGAGCAGGGACAGGCAGTGACAGCTTTTGCCAAGTGAGGGCTGTGTCCCTGCCCCTGTCCCTGTGCTGGATGTCACACTGACACATCCAGCTCCCTCCAAGGAAGTCACTCCTGCTCTGCACTTCCCTGGTCCCCCTGGCTGACCCGGTACCAAAGAGCTGCCCCAATCCAAGGTCTCATTCTCCCATGAGAGCCCCTAGCCACATGTCTACACCCCCAGGCTTTGCTCCTCTTCCCATCAACTCCCAGCAAGGCCTCCTGCCCATGGCCTCTGGCTTCCTTTCTGCCCAGGGTTTCAGGGAGAGAGGGGCTCAGGAGAAGGAGGAGAATGTGCTGCAGGGAAGGCTGTGAGAGGCTTTGCTTTGCTGAGATCTTGCATCTTCACTGAAATGCGGTAGCAGGAAGGTCCCCTCTCCTCAGGACAGGTGGGTCATCACAGGCTTCTGCAAGGCACAAGAAGGAGAAACCTCAGGCCAACACCGTGTCCACACCACCCTGAGCCAACCCAGCATGCTCCTTGTCCCTTCTAGAGGGAGTCTCCGCCCCATCCCATGGACCACGCAGGCAGCGGGAATTCAAAGATGTTCGTCTTCCCTGGGGCTGTGACATCTCGGCCATCAGGGGGTGGTGCCCAGGTGTTCCCAGGTGTTCCTCCCTCACCAGACATCACCAACACTGAGAGCCGAGGGCTCCAGCAGCTTGGGGAGAGAGTGCAGAAGGCCAGTGGAAGCCAGCAGCCCTCCCGTGGGGCCGGGTCCGTACCGCAAAGAGCCGCTCCACCCTCCTGTTCTTGCCGTTGGGGTTCCTCTGCGTCAGCGAGCCGCGGTACACGGAATTCCGCTCAAAGGAGTCGTCAAAACCTGCAGAGAGGGAACAGAGGGATGGGCACCAGCTCACCAGAGGCTTCAGTGACCCATCAAGGCACTTGGCTGCGGGTTTGGATGCATCCCAGCCCTCCTCTCTGCAGGAGGGTGATGGGAAGGAAGCACTTTGGGAACAAGGAGACAAGAGCTGTGCTGCTCAGCTTTCCTGAGCACTGCCTGAGCTGGGTCAGCCTGGCAGCAGCCCTGGAAAGCTCCGTGGTACAACAGAACCCCAGCCTGGCAGCAGCTCTCACTGCCCCAGCCTGTGAGGCTCTCTTGACCTGTTAATTCATCTCCTCTCCTCTGCCACCATCTTCCACCAGCTGCACCTTTCCAGGCCCAACTTTCCAAGTCACTGCCCTGCCAGGCAGTCAGGAGGCCAAATCCCCCCCTGGCCCAGCCCAGGCACAGTGGATTAGGTTTGCCTGGTGATATCATTGCACATTGTCCCTCTGTCTCCTCACAGGGCTGATGTGTCCCACGGGCTGCCTTTATCTGCCTGCCCTTTGCAGAAAGGGCAGCAGATGACTCCTCCTCAGGGTGAGGACAAGGGACCTTTCCACCTCCCAGCCTGGGGAACAGCACTGTTAATTGTCTGTGTGAATGAGGGGAACACTGCTCTACCTCTTCCCTCTCTTCATCTTCCATTATCTGGAAGAAGAGCCATTTCTTTGCCTTTAAGCTTGTGAAGAGAGATAAGAAAGAAATAGAAAAGTAATTTCCTAGTGGGGCTCACTGATATTGGTCAGGACGAAACATTTCCAGGCACTGTCCCCCATACCACACAAGCTGCTGTGCCAAGTTTTAGGTCACCATTGACTCTGAAGCTCTCCCAAGGTGCTGTTTGTCCATAGCTGGGCCCTGCAGGGCTTCTTGTCCCCGAGCAGAGACCAGTGGCTGAGCCAGGTGGGCAGCAGGGTCAAGACTCACAGAGTCATGGAATGGTTTGGGTTGAAAGGAACTTGAAATCCCCTCTTGTTCCACCCACCTGCCACGGGCAGGGATATTTTTCACTAGACCAGGTTGCTCCAAGCCCCATCCAACCTGGCCTGGAACACTTCCAGGCGTGGGGCATGCCATCCAGGGAAGGACACCTTCCCCAGGATGGTCAAGGAAGGGAGAAATTGCTGTCAGAAGAGAGGAAGGGCTCAGGTGAGGTTTTGAGGCCTAAGGATGAAGGGATGAAGGCACACAGGTGTCTCCCTGGCCTCTGGGGCGGCTGCAGAGAAGTCCTGGTTTGGTTCTTGGAGGACTCAGCCACCTCAGCCTGATCTCTGCTGTCCCATCACTGTCCCCAGTCCTTTCCCAGTTATCCAACACAGGTTTCCCCTGTGGCTGTCCCACCAGCAGGCAGTGAGCACAGGGAAGGGGACACCACTGCAGACACACAGCTGGATGCAGACAGGGAGAGAGGAGCAGCATCCCCAGAGCCCAGCCCAGCCACCCACAGGTTCCCATCTCCCATGGGCAGGGCCCTGCTCCTTACTGGTGATTTCCAGGGGGCTGTTGAACTTCCTCCTGAACCTCTGCAGTCCGGGCATTACCTGCAAGATAAGGGGAGCAGCCTGCCGTGGGGAAGGGATGGGAGGGCAGAGGCCTCCACTGAGGTCCCCACTGAGGCCACCTCTTTGATGGCAGCCCCCTGGAGACCCTGGCTGTGCCCAGGCTTAACTCTGTGCCACAGGCACAGCCTGTGATTAAACACACACTCACTTTAATGTCATCCAAAGACTCCCCAGGACTGCTGCTGGCAGGACCAGGAGAATGGGCAGCCTGTGGACAGAGGAAGGCAGAGGTGTCTCTGGGGTGAAAGAGGAGCTCAGTCTGCCATGGCAGAGCACCAGGCAGCACAGAGAGAGCTGGGAATGGCTCTCAGCCCCTCCCAACACCTAGGGGCAGCAGCTACAGCTCAGGGGAGCACACACGTCACAGCCACCACCCTCCATGCTCACCTGCACACTCGACTTCTTCTTTGCCTTTTCCACAGACTTCACTGTCAGCCCTGCAGCAGACAGAGCTGCAATTCGGGATTCAATATCCGAAATCTTTAGAAGGAGGAGAAAAGACAGACAGATGGTGGCTGGAGGATCCATCAGTGGCTTTGTTTGCCATCACTGACCTGTCAGAGTCAGGCCCTCACCTCACTCTCTGCCTGCTGCACCTGAGCAGCTGCTGAGGCCACTCTGTCCTCCAGCTCTGACAGCTCTGAGTCGGTGGTGCCGCTGTGCTGAGTCCCTTCCTCAAGCTCCTTCAGGGTCTTCTCAAGCTGGTAGGTCTTCCCAGCAGTCAGGTACACCTGAAATACAGAAAAAGGAAAAACTGCATGGAAGAATTCACCTCCCTGGAGTTCTGCTCTCCTGGTGTGACTGCAGTCTCAGGTGCAGCAGCTCCTGCTGCTCTTTTCTGACTGCCTTCTTGCCTTGCAGCACAGACAGTACCAGTCAGCTCTGATGTGCTTTTCATCTCATTTTCTCCCTTCCCTGGGCTTTTTGAGAGCAATTACCAACACTGTGAAGTGGTAAGAGGCTCAATGGGAACACAGGAAGGACCAAAACTCAGTGACCTACTGGAGAAGCAGCAGCACTTTGTGCTGTGCTCAGAGGAAGAGCAGGTATCTGCAAACCAGCTCAGGCTGCTGTGTCCTCTGAGGGCAGAGCTGGGAAAGGGACAAACTGACTTTCCAAACCTGCTTAGTCTGTTTTAAGGGTGTCTGTGTTGCTGGGAGCAGGGTCAGCCTGCACCATGCTCCCTTTGCTGCCTAGAGAAGGGTAACAGGATCTATCCCAATAAAATCTCTGGTTTTACTGCCACTTGTCTCCTCCCAGGTTACTACAAGGACACAGGTCCAAGCAAGGCAGCTCAGGAAACATTAACACATCAGTATATAATCACATCAGATGATCAGATGTGGCCACTGTTCTGCTGACTGACTCCAAGACCTCAGTACTGCTGCAGCAATTGCTACTCCTCCAGCCCTCTCAGCTTTCCCTGGGCTGGGCATTGTGCAGAACTGCCTGGCAGGAGCCCTCTGCATGCACTGAACCACAGTTCATCCACCCAAATCACAGCACCACACTCCCAGAGGTCCCACCCATCCCAGTGCAAATCCTAAGGCCATGCACCACCCAACCTGAGTCACAGGGATTTGTTGTTGGCCCATCAGACTCCCCCAGTGCCCTCCAAGGTGGGTGGCATGCCTTGGAGAGGAGAACAGAGTGGCCAGGCAGCTGTGACTCAGCCAGGATCCCCGAGGGAGTGGCAGGATGACACACATCTCCCAGGGCCATTGTCTACCCACCCCTGTCCCGAGCTGACAGCAGCAGCAGTGCTAAGCCCAAAGCTCACAAAGCTCCAGCCCTATCCCCTCTCTTGAGAGAGGGGGAACCCCAAAACCTTCAAGCATCCAACCCTTTTCTCCTGGGATGCTGTATTTGGCCAGAAAGCATCCAGGTGTTGTTGTAGCTCCCTGCTTTGATTTAGAAGCTTTCCCCAGTGAGAGATGAGCCACAGAGTGTGCCCTAAAACCCTGCACCCCATTGCAGGACATTCCCTACAGCAAACCCCAACCTCCCAGATGGAGATCCAACCCTTGTTTAAATTGTTTCTTTGGAGCTTGGTACAGGGTACTGTAGATGCAAACCATTTCTACAGGGAATCGATTGCTAGGAGTTTTTATGGCTAAAAAAGCTGTCAGTGCTCCGGGGTCACACAAACCTTGCAGAGGAATTATGCTCTGGCTGTGAACTTGTCACCTTCATGAGCCCATCAGCCCCAGGCACAAGCAGCCTTAGTGAAGAGGTGGGTCATGTCCATAAAGCCTTTGATGAACACAGTTTTGGTGAGGAACTGAAGGGAATGGGACACAAATTTTGCTGGAGCAGGGACAGCTGAAATCCAGCAAAGTGATGCTACAGCAAGGTGGGGACCACACTCATCACCCAGGAACCAAGGAAAGGAAAGCCACAAGACAGAGCATCTGCTTTTGCTGTTGTACCATCCTGTGAGACCAGACTTTTTAATCCCTCTGCTGACCATCCTTTCAGTGCTAACAAGAATTTTTTTTTTGGCGGGGGGAGGATTCCTTTGTGCTCCCACCCCCCTGCTGCCCAAAAGCTCTAGGGAGCCTTACATTTTCCTCCAGCTCCCGGTACACTTTGGCCACCTCTCTGCCATCTGCCAGGTCTGGAAGCTGCCCTGCAGGGAGGGCACAGCCCTGGCTCTCTCCATGCAAGGACTCCCACACTGCTTCCTCCGTGGCGTTTATGGCTCTCAGCACTTTGGCCGTGATCTCACTCAAAGCCTGAGCCGAGGACCTCTGCGAGAGCCAAAGCAGAGGGAAGGGGGGAAAAAAACATGGATGTTATTTGAATGTGGTGTATAAACCAGCACAAGCCAGGGGTGAGAGGACCTCCAGGAGCTGTGGGAAGAGGGAGGAATGGTGATTAAGAGGCTTACGCTGCTCCTGAAGGGCTCTCCAACACGCGGATGCAGAGCTTTGATCTCAGCCCGTGCTTTCTGCAGGACGGCTGTGACAAAAGAAGTCACCTCAAAAGGCTTGGAAAAGAGGTTATGGAGGGATGTTTCGCTCACTAGAAGCACCTGAGGGCCACTCAGTTACACAGCAGTTAAGATCTAATTGCAGCATATTGCTTTACACCTCAGTGGGCCTGAGCAGGGATGCAAACAACTCCTTGAGTTTGTGGCAAAAGAATAAAAACAACCTGAGCCCCTAAAATGATTGTATTGCCACACCACCAGAACCTAATGTCCTCTCTTCCCACCCCAAGGAGCACTGATGACAATAATGCCCCTAAGTGCTGCCCTTGGCTTGATGAGGTGTTAAACACATGTCAAAAATGGGCCCAAGAAACTCATCATCTCTCTCCCAGCTGATAATTCCCTAGAAACCAAGGACATGGGGTGACATATGTGCTGGTTGTGTTTACAACTGCATGTATTTCCAGGCAAGCTGCTCCTGCAGAGAAACAGCTAACTCAGTCCAGATGATATTTTTATAATTTTATGGTGCCTTCATGGTACAGCAGAGTTTTTTCACATTTTCCATTAGGTTCGTGTGCTTCCATCATAGTGCTCCCTCAGTTAGAAGATTTCCTCTTAACTGGAGGAACCTCATATCAAAAATCCCTCAGAATCACACAAAATCCAAACCTGGATCTGTTGTAAGTATATGGAAAGTTGCTGTTAAGTATCATCCATGCTGACAGCCTTTAACCAAGGCTGGTCCACTACTGCAGACATTTCTGTCTCAATATTCCTCCTTGCCTCATAGCAGGGCTTGGGGGTAAAGAAAGTAGCAAATCTAGAGGATCTACGATTCATTTCATAAGAAACCAGAATCTTACACTGATACCACACAAACAGTTCAGGCTTCGAGGCTCTGCCTGCTGCACATCAGCAGCTCACACAGAAACTGTCACCTTGGCTCAGTGAGTTATCACTTATCTGCACTTAATTAGAAATGGCTGTTAAGATGATGCAGATGGTTCAATCTACAAGAAGTTAACTCTGGCTGCAGCAATCATCTGAAAGCAGCTTTCGGGAAAAAGGAGGCAGTAAAGGATGCTGTGGGTGAGGATGCACTGCTGCTCCAGTGGCAGTGAGAGCACAGCAAATAGTACCCAAACCCACCAGGCTTTGTGTTGTGAGGCTGAGGAACAAATGCACATTAAAGGGAGGCTTCATGGCATCATGAAAGCCACCACAACCTGGGATGAATGCAGTTTTGCAGGAGAGGAGAGTGGTGTCAGCTTCCTTCCTTAGACAGCATTTTGGAGCAAATGCACACATCCCCCTTCCACAGCCAAGGCAGGAGGGAAGGGATGGACAAACTAGCCCTCAGAGACCCAACAGGGAATGCTGACCTCTCCATCTGTGCTAATGGATCATCTTGGAGCCTCTGCACAACTGGGGCCATACTGCAGAGGTGCTGTGATCTGTCCTCTCCCTGACCCTTGTCCCCACAGGTCACCCAGTGAGTAGGGACAGGACTCGGCACAGAGCTGGAAATGTGAGATGCTGATCTAGCAAAGTGGAAGTGGGATCAGGGATTTAGGGACTCAGGAGCACTGACAGGTGTGGAAAAGACATTTCAGGCTGTAGCAGGTGCCTGACAAAGGCTGCTGGTACTAAATCCTCACCGAGCTCTTCTCCCACCCCAGGACTCTTCTCAATAATGACTTCCAGATCCTGGAACTACTCCTTTAAATAGATGTGGAGGTTGTGCACTTCTCCATGACAGGCAGCATAGCCTGCAAGAACTCTAAAAGTCTTTACTTTTGGGTGAGACTGGGAGAGCCTAAAAAGAGAAACGTCCAGATCTAACACCTTGGGACTTCCCTATCCCTTGACATTGTAGAGCCCTGGTGGAGGTGTAGGACAGAAAAAGAGTCACATTTTCATGGTGTAAAACCAGTGAGAGAAGGAATGATGGATGCAGCCTGGAATGATGTGGGTGGCAGGGCACAGATTACCTTTCTTACATCTCTGGAGGAATTCATCTCTGGTTTCTTTCCTCCCTTCTCTTCTCCACGCTCCTCCTCGTCAGTAGAGACTTCTTTATCACTGATGTTGCTGGCCAGCTCCTCCAGCTTCCTCTTCAACACCTCTTCCTCAGCATCAGGATCACTGTGGGACTCTGGGGCTGGAGACTGGAGGAGCAGAAGAAGGGAGCAGTGTGAGAGCCTCCTGTGGTGGACAACTCCAAGCACAGAAGCTCCAGGATTGTGACCACAGAGGGACTTTCAAACCACCCCAGGGAACAGCAGAGCCCAAAGCCCACTGAGGAACACAAATCCTTGACCTAAAGAACCTCCATTCACATTTCCCCCCCCCAACAACAACTTGCTTGGTTTTCTCCATGGAAAATTGCCTTTTCTCCACCCTTAAAAAGATGGGCATGAGGGATTTGGGGCCAAAAATCACCACATTTTCATTAGGAGCCATTGCATGGCTGGTGGCTCTGAGGGCAGCTAGAACAGAACAGAACAGCAATGCAGGAACAAGGTCCACCAGGGAGAGGGAAGCAGCCATAGGGATTGCCACTCTCTGAGGTAACTTTTGGAACTCTGGGTGATCTCATTTGGGATGAGAAACCACACAGCAAATTTCCCTGTAGGACAGATGACACATTGCCACCCACCCTCGTTGTTAGGTGCAATTCATGGTAGCTGGAGAAGAATCCTATTAAAACTCCCAGTGCTGGAAGAGATCTCCAGAAGTTCCTGAACTTGCTGACCCCTGCATAATACAATTACCTGTGTCATAGCTGGTGGGGTTTTGTCTGAGCTGTTTTTAACAGTGACCATCTGCAGCAGACAATCTTTTTCCCAGGCAACCTATTCCAGGGTTCTGCTATCCTTTCTGCTGGAAAGTTTTGCTTCATAGTTAATCTCAGCCTCTCCCACAGACCCACTGCCTGTGCTCTGATTTGCCCTGGATATGGGAATAAAGTGTGGGAACCTGACACTATGAAAACAAAACCTCTTACTCCCTTGGTTCAGGATTGCTGACGGAAACTCTGAGTGATTAAAATCGAGGCCATCCCTCCATTTTGAATTTCAGAAAAGAAAAGGAGAAATTGCATTGTTTCATCCATGTCTGGAGGCTTTGCCTGTAATTATCACCATCCATTCTACTGAGCCATCAGCTGCCAGAGTGGTGATGGGTTCACATGAAGGAAAAGAGTGCATAGTCTAAAATTAGAAACCCAAAAATCAATGTTAAGTGGTCTAAGTATTCACAGATACTACACTGTTACTCAGCTTTAACTTAATTTAGCTGTTTTCTTCCAAGCTGGATGGCATGGTAAGATGAGGGCAGCTCAGAAGAGATACAGAAATATTCCTTGACTCAGCTCTCACAGTCACAATAACCTGGTGCCTTCCTCATGGGTACTAATTGAGTGTCCCATGATTTCAAATGAGCTGTCACAGCTCTGCAGATACAGACATCACCTAACAAAACTCCTGGAATTAGCATTCACGAAATATCAGCCTGAAAGCAAATTTTCCTTGTGCAGAGGGGGCAAGGAAAGCACTGGTTTGCACAGGGTCTAAATGGGTTCAATTTCCTGATGTTTCTAAGTGTTTGCTAAGGCACTCCATCACCTGGAGGCCAAACCAGAGGAGTGAACTCCAACAGCCCAGGTGACTGTGGCACTTAGGGACAGACTTGGCAGCGGTAGGGGAATGGTTGGGCTCAGTGATCTTAGCGGTCTCTTCCAACCTGAATATTTCTATGATTTTGTCTCTCCCTGCAACGCTGACTGCTTCAGAGAAGCCTCTGCAGTGGCCAGGGGAAGGGAGCAGCACAGCCCTGCTCCATCCCTGCAGGATTCCTGTCCCATTACCTCGTCAGAGCGTGTCAGGATTTTTTCCTCCAAGCGGTTCAGCACGCGTTCGATTGCAGACATGCGAGCGTTGAGCTCATGGATCTACAGGAAAGGGAAGAAAGAGGGAAAAAGAGGAGAGAACAGACCAGCCACCACTGCCAGGACAGTGAGGAAACAGTGCAGCCAGCAGAGGAAAGCAGGCAGCAGGACACTGCCACTGTGGGCAGAGTTAAAAGATATTAAAAAATAATATCTTTTAAGTAATGTCTTAAAAATGCCAGCAAGCTGCAGGAGGTGCAGATCAACCCCAAATCTGGAAAACTCCAAGGAACACCGAGCCCCCAGCACAAGACAATTCCCACCAAAGCACCTGGAGCTTTGATGCAGTGAATGTAAAACCCCATCACCAATAAAAGCATCAGCCTGTAATGAAGCCATCTCACCATCATTCCCATGCTGTCCCAAATTCAAGTCAATATCCATTTTCACTTCCTACCAACATGTTTTTCAAGCTGTAACCACCCCATCACACACCTGCCAACACAGTGGTGAAGAGAAAGAGGGCAAGAATTCCCCATGAAAATAAAAAAAAAAACGGAACCTGAAAGTTTTCCCCACCACTTTGAAATCTTCTGACTTCTCTGTGCATTGATTCACCCAGATGCTTGCCCTCTCTTTTCCCTCACTCCTCTGACTAAAAATGGGACATGGAGAGAAGGGCAGAGAAACTAAAGACAGACAAAATGCTGAAAATCATAGAGGAGTTATTTTCTGTGCTCAAGAGCCAAGACAAACCTTTGTGGTGAGGGTGGATTTGGACTGGACATCAGGAAGGAATTGTTCCCTGTGAGAGTGGGCAGGCCCTGACACAGGGTTGCCCAGAGAAGCTGTGGCTGCCCCTGGATCCCTGGAAGTGCCCAAGACGAGGCTGGACAGGTCTTGGAGTAACCTGGGATAGTGGAAGGTGCCTCTGCCCACAGCAAGGAAGTGGAATGAGATATTTTTCAGATCTATTTAAACCAAAACAGCTCTATGATCGCTGAAAACATTAAAAGAAGCTTTTTTTTCCCTTTAGAAATGGAAGTTTTTCTTCCTTTGAAAAAAACCAAATCTCTCTCCTTTGATCCAGACAAATAAAACATAAATGATGATAAATATTGCCTGTTTTATGACACTGCCAGTGCATCACTGCTGTGCTGAGTGGTTTCTGCCCATTCAAAGGGGAGCAAGCAGCAAAAGCAGTAAGCAAAGGTGGTAACAAAGAGATGTGAGGGGCAGGCTTTGTTTTTGTCACAATTTCCATCCTCTCACTTAGTTTTTGTGTTTGTCAGGGTTTGATTAATTAGACCCTCACAACAGCTAGGGGTGATTGCCTCTGCTTAAGGGAGGATGAATATAAAAACCTGGCACTGTGGAGAGCAGAGCTGCCATTACCACCCCGTGAAAGCATCTCCAAGCAGCATTAAACCCACTGGCATGAGGCACTTCAGTCCATTGCTAAGTGGTTTTTCAGTCCTGTTTAAGGCATCACTCCCAGTGACAATAAGAAGCCTCTGATGGCCCATCAGCTTCAGAGATGGTGACAAATCAGGAGTCACCACTGCCCCATCTCCATCAGGAAGAGGCTGGGAGAGATCAGAGCCTAAAGCACAGGCTGCTGTTGATATTGATGGATATCTGCCAGGAGAGGAGCTGAAAAGCTTCATTCTCCTTCCTAGTCAAAGCTGGCTTTAATGCAGGGTGGGCACCCCACTAGGGCACATTTCCATCAGGGACTGGGTCACCCTGCACCTCTCTCAGTGTGACAAAAGCTGGCAAACTGTGCTCTGAATTAAAACCTTTCAGGTGAATAAACTTAAAGCACAGCCCATAACATCAGGTAGGGGAAACTACCCCTTGCTGCTGAGAAGGGAGGACAGGTTACTCTACCCAAGCCTCTAACAGAAGCTTTAGGTAAAGAAGGGGAGCCAGACACCATCAAAGCTTTGGGAATCCAGAACCACTGAGCTCCCGTGAGGTACAGCAGGATGGCTTTTGGGGAAAAACTGGGTAAATTGGAGCTATTCCTTGTGGCTTGGTGCTGCTCCCACCTGACTTTTAAAAATCTAAAGGCAAAGATCCACACAGTTATCAATTCAGGGCTTCTTTTTGTGTCTCATCAAGTTTAAGTGCTTCTTTAAATAGAGTTTTTCTTTTTTTAGGTTTTGTTCTTGAACCTGCAGCTCCTGGAGTCACAGGACTAGGGAACAGCCCATGCTTCTGTTACTGGAGAAGTTAACTTTCTTGTGTTTGGGACTGAACACTGTATCCTCTTCAGAGCTAAAGCAAAAGTGGTTTTGAAATCAACCATGTTTTGACAAACGTGGCCCTAAGGTAGTTTTAGGAGAAGAGAGTTTTCATCTATGTGGTCAAAGAGCTGAGTACTCCACCTCTTGAAACCTTCAGAGATGCCCGCCAGGACAACACTGCATGTGAAGCCAGGCTATGGGATTTAATAAAGGTTTAACATGATTCTGCAGCCTGCACCAGCACAGAGCTGGGTGGGAGGATGGTTGCTGGCTGTAAACACATCAACAGCACAAAGGGCACGGAGGATGGGGAGCTATTTAAGCTAATGAGCAAGGCTTCCACCAGAGCAAATGAGGGTAAAGTGGGAGTGAGAAGATGCCTCATCACCATTAGGGTGACAACAGCCACACCAGCCTTCCTCCAGGTGTGAGGGAGCAAACCAAGCCTGCTGTGGGAGCTTGCCCAGCTCCTGGAGGAAGTCGTGGGACGTGTTGGTAGGAATTTGGCCCCATTTCCCCACTGCAAAGCATGGTGCACATTTCATGCCTAACACAGCGTGGCCTCATTAAGGACACCCAGTCCAGGGTCCTCCCATTTACTGCTGATGGAGGAAGGAATGGCATTTACTAATTAAAACATTAGTTTTAGCCCACAGAAGTAAATGGCAAATAGAAGCTTTCTCTACCCAGGCACATGAAGTGGGGCACTGAGGGATGGCTGTGGTCACAGACCTCACGCTGATTACCCAAAGAGGGGTCCAGGACATGCAAAATCACCAGCTGTGAGACTGGAAACTGATTCTGCCCCTGTATCTGTAGCCTAACACCATTCTGCATTTTACTGCTCTTGAGATCTTAAGAGCCAGACCAGCTTTACATCCTCATCACCCACCACTGGCAAAGGCAGCACCAGGAACAGCAGGTCCTTGCTTGACAATTAAAACACAAACTTAGGCCCTGTTTGACGCCTTTATTTAGGCTGTTCCCCCATTACCATCACTCAGGAGAGGTATGACTGGTCATCCTGACCCAGTCCTACCGAGGCAGGAACACACTGCAAAGTCAGAGAAGGATCTTGGTGCTTATTAAATATCCATCTCCAGACCTCCATCTGCTTATTAAGAACTGACACATTCAATTTAAGAAAGCCTTTCTGGAGACACAAGAACCCACAAAGAACTCAGATTAGTAATGAAGCTGGAAAATGAGTGGTTTGTTATTGTGATGGGCAGGGGGAAGCATCAACCAATGCCTGGTTTTCTTTTTGCTGTGACTGGAAAAGCACACTCCAGCTGGCCATTGCTGCTTCTCTTCTCCTCTGAACCACCCTGCAGCTCAGAGGCAGCAAGAGGGACGTGGCCACGGTGTCAGCAGAGGCTGTTGGGTACCTGGTTTGAGGAGCGGCTGATGTTCTCCTGGGAGGAGGCTCTGCTCCTGCGTTTCTGGTGGGGTGGGTAGGTTGGGAGCTGGGCTCCCTTCACATCCTCATCAGAGGTGTCCATGTCTGCTGAGTACCGGGCCCGGGGTGGCTCGCTCCAGGGGATGCCTTAGAGAGACAAAGGTACAAGGAATTCACACCCCTGAGTTCCTTCCTGGACATTGGCCTCACCCTTAACACAAGCAAATAATGAGGCATTTCCCCAGATCAGACTTCTTATCCTTTGGCAGGGGGTGTTTCTGTAAATCAGACCAAATTTAAGCAGGGACCATCCTCCTTGCTGTCATGCCCCGGGCAGCCAGGCCCCTCACCAAAAACCTCTCCTGCCTTCCCAATTTTGTAGGAGACCAGGTTTGGATGCTGCCCTTTGTGCACTGCCCAGGTGCTGGAAGATGTTTAGGCTCAGACTAGAGAGGTACCAGTCTAGGATGGAGCATTTAAAAAGAGTGCAAAGTCTCCTGTGTAAAGGAGAATTTCAAATGAGACAAAAACAGCGAGAGAAAATAGAATTAATATGCATGGAGACCTTGCTGCTGTGATGCTCCAGAAGAACTTGGAATGGGAATTTAAACAGCCATGTTAAGGTCTACCCAGCATTCCCAAATGTCCTGAAAATACAGCCAGGCCACTGGAGACACAGGAAGACATATTCTACATTTGCATGCACAAGCCAGTATCCAACCCTCCTGGCTGTGCCATCACTGCAGGGAAAGCAGAGGCTGTAAAAGGCAAATTCTGCCTCTTAGAGGGCATTTATAGACTCACAAATCCACAGATCATTTACCCTACCCATGCATGCTGCCCAGCTACAAGGATGCCACTTAACAGCCTCCATTTCTTGCCTCCAGTTCTAGTCCAAGTCCTCTAAAAACTCAAAGCTTTCTGCAGCCACAGCATCCTTTACTAAGGAGCTGAAGTCCTCTCTGCAGCAGGAAAAACATCCCATTGTTTCTAGCAGTGTCTATTTGAGTGTATCTAGTTTCTACCCAAGAAAACCCCAGTAGGTATGAAAGGGATGGGCACCTTAGGAACAACCCTTTGGCTTTGTTAGAAACAAGATCAGTCCTTTTACAACTAAATAACATCAACAAGATTCTTTCCTAAAAAAAATCCCTTTTGCAGATGGATAAATTGTGTTGACCCTCAAGCCTCTTCGTGGCTTTGAGGTTGTCCAGAAAAAAACAAAAGCCAAAGATATTTTCATTTGGGTCCAACACTTGCAGCCACTTGTCCCAAGAGGAGACAAGAGGAACCTGGGCAAGGACACCTAACAGGATTTGGGTTTTTGAGGAGCCTGGACAAGGACATCTACCAGGCTTTGGGTTTCTGAGGAACGTGGACATGGACACCTACCAGGATTTGGGCTCCTTTCCAGGCTCCTCCTGCGTGTGTTGAGGGTGAGTCGAACCTCTGTGCTGAAGTGCTGCTCTGGAGTGCTCACCCCTGGCTCCTGCAGGACATGGTGGAACACCAGGTCTGCATCCGTGATCCTGGATTCCTGGGAGCCATCTTCAGCTGTGCTGGGGAAATCTGGGAAGGACTGAGAGTTGAGGATGCTGCTGAGCAGCTGGCCATGGAGATTCCACTTGTATGACCCCACCTGTAGTGATGCCTCCAGCTCAGGGCCCCTCCCCAAAATAAGAACAGTGTAGAGCTGTGGCTGCCCCTGGATCCCTGGAAGAATCCAAGGCCAGGTTGGGCAGGGCTTGGAGCAACCTGGGACAGTGAAAGGAGTTGGAATGAGATTATTTTTACACTCCCTCCAACTCAACTTGTTCTATGATTCTACAACTCCTTGTCTCTCCCGACCTTCACTAAGAGCTCCTCTCTTCATTCTTCAATATATGCATGGATTGACCTTTTATAATGCCAATTATATTTATATAAAATATAAAAGTTCCTAATAATCCCATTTAAAGGCTTTGCCTGGCTGCTGAACCCTGAGCAATACTTCCCATCACTGCCAGGGGGCACTGCTAATTTTTACAAGCATAGAGTTCCTTCAGCCAGGCTGCAACACCCCCTGATCTTTTAAAACACCATCCCCTTCTACTTATTCCAATAGCCACCACCTCTCATAATCTATAATCTGTAAATCCAATTTGACAGAGGCCAGGTTTCACACTGAATTCTGCTGAGAATTCAGAGGGGGACTCTGAATTCAGAAGGGGGAAAGACAAACAAAAAGAGGGATCTAATTATTCCCCCCAAATTCTAATAGTTTTGTGTGGAATTGTGCAGATTAAATTTTTTAAGTTGTTGTTACAGATTTAAGCACATCCTATTCCTACCCAAGAATAGAGATTAATCAGAGCATTATTGAAAAGAAGGAGCTCTTTAGTTATTTAAAAGTGCAATTTCATCAGAAAAGGCAAACAAGAGTGGCCCAAAAAGCTGGACTTGAAGCCTCTCAGACCTTTTGCCACACCCAGGGTGACCCCATCTGTGTTCCTCCCCAGAGCTGGAAGGTAGGGCTGGTCAGATCCCTTAGTGGGATCACAAGGCACAGCTCCCTGCACTCTCTGGATCTGAGTGTTGCTCCTGGCCAGAAGCTCTGGATACTAAGGTATATCCAGTCTCCTATTTAGAAGTAACCAGCATTCCTGCGGTTTTTGTCCTCTAAGTTTTCATCCCTCTGACTGGTCCCCACTCATGCTGGCTCTGTGGGATTCATCTCAACCTCACAAAGGTCGTGTGCCTCACAGAGCTGCTGCCAGCTGCATCCCAGTGCCACCACATGGCAAACCCAGCCCCAAACTGGATGGGAACATGGGAGAAGAACCTGATTTCATTTAATCCCTTGATCACTGAACTCACTGGAAACCAGAGTGTGTCCCATAGGCTTGAGACAGCACAAGAAAACGATTGTCTGCTAAGAGCAAGGAAATCTGCAGGGACATGGCCAGACAACATCTTGCTGTCCCATCTTAGCACTCATCCTCTCTTGGATCAGGGGTCCTGCTCCTGAGCTGGCCTGAGACAAAGGTCTTCAATTGGAAAAAGAGATTGCAAGCAGCGATGGGGATCAGGGATTGGCACCACTGCCTCCCAACACCAGCTGAAGGAGTTCTGAGGCTGAAGGGGCAGTGGTAGCAAGCAAGGAGAAGGAGGAAGAAAGGAAAGGAACCCCCCAGGAGTGTCCCAGTACCTGGAAAGCATCCGGGCTGCTGGCTGCTGGAGAGAGCTGCAGAGACTGGCGGCGAGACTGAGCAGAGTAATCCGAGTCCAGCTCAAAATCAAAGGGATGCACAGACAGCAGCCGCTTTGTCTTGCACATCTTTAGCACAGAAAGTGCAAGGAAGGAAAATTCAGTGTAAGACACAGTTGACCTTGAGGAAAGGGGGAGGGAGGATCTTTCTCTCCTTAGTTTCCTCTGCTTTTAGCAGAGAAATTTGGGCCTGATGCTGTCCTGTTGAAGAGAGCCAGGTACACCATGGGATTGTGCTAAAGGAAAAAGTGGGTTCCTGATTTCCACAGCCTCTGGCTCAGGACTGCTGCTGTAAGCAGAGTGAAAATCTCTCTCCTGGTTTATAAAGGCACTCTGGGAAAGCTGAGCCAGCTTACAGCTCAGAGAGAGATCCAGGTGATGCTTTTGAGCCCTGAAGCATCTACCCATCCTCAGAGAAAGGATGTTGCAGGCATGCAGAAAGGATGTTCAGATCTCTCTGAAAATATGGGAGGTCATTAGTAAAAAAACCCAAAGCAGGTGGGTTCTCATTATACAGGTAGGAGCTGGGACTTTTATGTTAATTGGTGACATCCATAGTGTTAGGAGAGCATGAGTATTTATGATGTTACTGACATGGTTGTTTTTACACAAACTGAGAGGAGAGGAGCTTATCTCAGAGAGGAAAAACAGAGGGAAAGGCCCAGTTTTGAAAGTGGCACAGAAAGCCACCACCACCATCACCCAAGGCAGGCCAGGGACACAGAATGAGGCAGGGGAAGCTCCAGAACCAAACACTTACTCGGCTGTAGCGCTCTGCTTCAGCTCCACGAAGGACATTGTCCTCCTCGTCACTGTCATCCCCTGCCTCACAGCTGGTGAGCAGCTGGCACTCTCCTGAGGAGACACAGGCAGCAGGTCAGTCCCCACCCTGGTGGTCACACCATGCTACTTACATGGGGTGAAAAGGCCCGGATTAGAAGGACCTCCTCAAATTGTTTTTTTCTACAGACACCCGCTTTTAGTACTTGACCTTGCAAAGGCTTGGCTGGCCTCTCGTTGCTTCCCCTGCCAGATGTGCACCATCACAGATGTGGAAGTGAAGGGGCACCTGCACCACAGAGAGCACTCTGAGGTCCACCTGGGTGACTCCAGTACTTGAAGGCTCAGGAGCTATTCCTGATTCCCATCAGCCAGATCTGTATTTATCAATGACCCATTGCTTTGAGATAATGAGTGCTTGCAAACTTCCAGTTTGGCACGTAACTAAAAAGTCCCGTTGTATCCAAATCTACCCTTGGAGACCCCAGATGTACCACAATGCACGAGTTCAGCACTACAGTCCATCTCCCCTGCAGTGTAGGAATGTTTTCCCTGGTCTGACCACTCCAAATCTCTCCAGAAGTGCCCACAGCCAGAGGGGTGTGAAGACAAAAAGACTTTGGAAACCTTGCTTGAGCAGCAAGCCCCCTGCTGCAATCCCCTTTTTTACTTACTGTTAATGTCTGGCAGGCTATAAACTCTGTCATGAAGACCTAAACAAAGAGAAAAATTGTGGGAAAAACCAATAATCACATTTTCTTCCTGTTCCTGGAGCAGAGAGCAAGACTCAGAGCCGTGGCTAACTGGAATTCTCATTCTCTAGCCATCACAAGAAACAATGGTTAAAAAGGCTCTTTAGAGAGAATAAAAAAACAGGACTTGACTTCTAAAAGTCAAAGAGCTGCTTGCCACAGCTTCCCCAAGCTGATGCAACATGCCTGGGCGCTGCAAGGGAAGGCACAGACAACTGCAGATGGCCAGAGATACATCCCAGGAGGAGATTCTTGCTCCCTCGAGGGTCAAGCCAATTCATTGGTGTTAATAAAATAATAAACAACAAAATCATTTCCCTTTGAAAAAGGCATCAGATTCTCAATTTAAAGCAGCCCAAGGCGCTGTTACCCTCATGCTTGGTTGGGTTTTTGTGTGCTCTGATGCATTTTCGGTCCAAACAATGCATGGATTGTCTCTCAGTCCATTAATTTTTTTTTTCCTGCTATTTCTGCCATGAGTGGCTTGGCTAAAAGAGCGATTGGAGCAGTTGAATCAGGTCATGCCGATGGTATGTGTGCAGACTTCTCTGTGGCTCCTCGAGATGGGAATAAACTCCACACTGGCTTCCAAAGGAAATAGGCCAAGGAGTAGGAGCTCTATGAATGACAACTAAGAGCTGGCTAGTAAATAACATTGTATTAACATCATCATATATTTATGCACTCTTGGACCAAAATCAGAAATATGGAAGGTCCATGAAGCTCTGAAGAAAACAGTTATGGTGACAGGTAGCTCACTAATTTTGGCACAGTTTTATCAGTGCCAGGGGATAGTCAGGTTGGTTGTAAAAATCATCAGGTCTTGGGGAAGAAAATGAAGGCTGGCTTTATCCTGCAGGTTAAACTAGGGTTAATTCCACAAGCTTTGTGATGAAAAGACCAGAAATAAAGAAAAAAAAAAGAGCTGCAAATTTATGTACTTACAAACAGAAGGGTGTGGGACTTAAAATTAAACATCAGGTATTAGGGAATTTTTTTTCATTGAAAGGGTGGTCAAGGAAGTGGTAGAACCACAATCCTTGGAAGTGTTCAAAAAACAATTTGATCTGGCACCAGGGGACTTGGTTCAGTGGTGGTCTTGGTAGTACTGGGTTGGACTGGATGATCTAGAGGTGTTTTCCAGCTGTAATGATCTTACATTCTCCAGTCTGTGGTAAAAACTTAAGACTTAGCAGTAGAAAAGCCATCAAGAACACCTGCCCTGTGTCTGAATGAACAACTCTGCATCCTCCCTGAGATGTTTTGAGCACCCACGACACCCAGAGCAGCATCACCACTGCTGCTCTTCCCTTGGTGCACCCCAAGGTGGTGCAGCACAGATTCCCCACGTGCAGCAGTGGCCATTCCTCACCCAGAAAGGCAGAGTTGAGCCCCTGGCCTGGCTGCAGCCTGCCATAGAGGGACTGCAGCACTTTGGCACTTCCAAACCTCTTGAAGCGGGAGCGCACGTGTTGGTAGTACCACTCCAGGGAGCCGATCTTCACAATCCTGCCCAAAGAGAGGAGGCACACCCAGGTCAGCCACTCCAGCCACACCCATGGTGAGCAGACCCTCACCCAAAAAACTGTTATCTTAACAAAAACACAGCATGCTTGCATCTGAAAGGACGCTGAGTTTGGGCAATTCTTGTTGAGCCTCATCCCTGAGGCTCACATTGTGCCTCAGCCTCCCTAGAGCAGAGCAGTGAGGAGTGGTTTTCCCAGGGGCTGATATGGGGACTGGAATTCTTCAACCCATGTTGGTGACTCAATGGGATTGAGTGTTCCCTCAGTTCACTGACACACCAAGCTGTGTGGTGCTGTCACATGCTGGAGGGAAGCAACAGGGACTGGGACAGCCTTGAAAGGTGGGGCCGTGAGAAACTCATGTGGCCAAGCACAAGGTCCTGCCCCTGGGTTGGAGCAATCCCATTCTCCCACAGTCTGGGTGGAGAATGGATTGGGAACAGCTCTGGGGAGAAGAACTTGGGGGTGCTGGAGGGTGAGAATGTTGAGAAAAGCCAGAAATGTGCATTGATACCCAGAAACCTCCTCATGTGCTGAGCCAATCCCACCGTTTGGGCAGCAGGGGAATGGGGGATTCTGCCCCTCTGCCCTACTCAGGTGAGACCCCACTTGCAGAGCTGCCTCCAGCTCTGGGGCCCCCCAAAAAAGGATGTGGAGCTGCTGGAACGAGATCAGAGGAGGCCACAAATGTGCTCTGAGGACTGGAGTCCCTCTGCTCTGTAGCCAGGCTGGGAGAGCTGGGAGTGTTCAGCTGGAGAAAAAAAAAGCTCTGGGGAGACCTTGGAGCCCTTCCAGTGCCTAAAGGGGCTCCAGGAGAGCTGGAGAGGGACTTGGAACAAGGCCTTGGAGAGACAGGACTGGGGAAATGGCTTCCCACTGCCAGAGGGCAGGGTTAGATGGGATTTAAGGAAGGAATTCTTCCTTGTGAGAAGGGTGAGGCCCTGGGACAGATTCCCAGTGCAGCTGTGGCTGCCTCGAGCCTGGAAGTGTTCAAGGCCAGGTTGGATGGGGCTTGGAGTACCCTGGGACAGTGGAAGGGCAGAGGGGTGGAGTGGGATGGGCTTTAAGGTGCACTCCAGTCCAAACCATCCTGTGATTCCCTGAGGAGCAGTACCTGGACAGGCGGCAGGGATCACAGACCCAGCCCTGCTCCTTCTTGTTGTAGCGGCTGCAGTTCTTGCAGGTGTAGAAGTGGCAGTCCAGGCACTGCCTTTTGCTGTTCAGCAGGAACTTGAAGGGCTGCAGGCAGTGCACACAGTGAGTTTCATTGAGGTGGGACTGATTGGTCAGGAACTCTCTCTTGCTGCTCTCCTGGTCGATCTTGCATTTCAGCTCCCTGCAGAAAACATCCCCAAAAAGCAGGAACTTGAGTTTTTTATGATCTCACTGCAAACTCTCACATGGCAAAGCTCATCATGCCACAATCATTTCAGGAACGATTTTCCAGAGAACATTGCAAGCCTGCAGCTTGTGGAAACAGCTGTAGGGCAAATCTAATAAATAACATATCACGAGTTAAATAAGCTGACAACAAAGTGGGCTCCAGATTCAGGACGGGTAACTGGAGTTTAATATTAGATCTAATTTAATATTAGAATCACAGAATATTCTGAGTTGGACAGGACTCACAAGGATCATTAAAAAAAAAAGTGATTGTGCCAAAATCTGTTCTGTTTGTTTCACAGGGTGTTGATCATTAATTGCCAGGAACTTCAGGAGAGCTGCTCTTCTCAAACCCTATGGCTGTATCCCAACCTGACACAATCTTCAAGCCTGGAGTCCTGCAGGGAATTAAAATCTTTCTGGAATTCTTAGTTTAAAAAAGGAGGGAAAAAAAAACAGAGAGAGAAGAAATCTGGGATTAAAAAGGATTAAAATGGGTTTTAATACAGTCCTGCAGTGCTAAAAATTCAGCAAAGAATTTTATTAAGTTATGTGCAATAAGGTCTGGCTGTTCAGAGGATGCAGCAGGAGGAGATGCTTGTGACAATCCTGTGAAAGGGAAAGGCTTTCCAAGGGCTTTCCAGTACATCCCTGCAGGCTTCCTTCACTGTCCAGCTCTGGCTGCCAGAGCAGGTCCCCATGGGAAACAGTGTCTGCATGAGTCTGAGGCCCCGCACCAGCTGGGGACAGCTGAGATGCCTGCCAAGCTGGTGGGGGCCTCCTGCACTGCCCAAAAGCTCTCTGTTTGCTGCCCGTGCCACGTACCACCTCAGGTATGTTTGCCTTTGGGGCCACGGCCCAGAGGAAAATGTTTGACTTGTGGGGAAGGTCCTAGAAAGTTGTTTTCTCTCCTGACAGGGTTAGGAAGCTGTGTTTTCCTGAGCAGAAGTCAGCTTGGGTTAAAACCCTCAGGCAGTCAGGTCTGGAGGCTGCTTCAGGATCACAGAGTGGACCACGAGGCACTGATGATGCTCCCAGTGCCGGACTGACGCCGGGGTGACCACAAGAGCAGCTGGGGTGAGCACAGCAGGAGCCTGGCTGGGCCTGGGAGCAGTGGTGTGACTGGCAGTGGGAAGGACAGGCATGTCAGTCAAGCTAATCTCTGTTTAACCTGATCAGTTTGCACATTAGGGCTCAGCTCTTGATTTTTTTTCCCGAGGAAGAATTTTCCAGCCAGCTGGCTGCCAGTGCACTCACTGCAAGACACATTTTTTGGTGTCGCTCCTTTGTTTGTGGCCAGGTAGGAGTGACATCAACTTGCATTTACTTCTGGGAAATGCAAAAACCAGTATAAAGACAGAAAATTGAGCACCTGGTTTGCATAAGCAGCCGTTCACCATCCTAGCAGTGACTTGGACAAACTGGTGCAAACGTCCCAGCAGTAAATTTAAGTGACTTCTGAAAAGAAACCCTCAAATAGAAAACCCTTGGGTTGGGCTCAGTACTCCTTTTCCACTCCAGTGCTAAGGCAGTTTCCAGCAGGATCCAATCTTTTTTACTGGAACTGCTTTTTCTGGTTCCCAGAGACCGGTTGGATCCCTTCACCTCTCCTCCCTCACCCACCAGACCTGCCAAAGGAAGGAAGAGTCTCAGCCAAACCAGTTTAAAACCCGCAGGAACCGCACACCTCTTGTCTCCTCTTGCTGGTAGAAGCACCAGCCAGCTCCTTCCCTGCTCTACTCTCGGCAGAATGAATAAATCTGTGGTGTTGGGATGCCAGCTGCTGCAGGGTTGGACCTAGAGAGCTCCAGGAGAGATGCAGGGAGCCATCCTCCAAAAATGGGGCTGTGGGCATGGATGTTTCAGGAAAGAATGAGGGAGAGACCCCGCAAAATGGACATTATTTGAATTTTTGGGCAAAGCACTGCCCTAGCATGCCTGTGCAGTTTGAAGCCTTTGTCCCTTGTTGGTGAATAGCTTCTGCTAAAAACAAAATACAGAGAAGCAGCAAATAGGGAAGAAAAAGACCAAGCTGGGGAGGGGGTGGATGGGACATTTCTTCAAGGCTGGCAGGTTGAGACAAGCCCGGTGAATAGAAAAGTAAATGAATAGAAAAGTAAATGGATGGGGCTGGTCAGAACACATAGTGAATGGCTGCAGGGTCTCCCATAATGTCACATCGTGTCCCAGCTTGTCACAGGCAGAAAATTCTCCTGTAGCTCCATGTCCAGCACTCAGGAATGTGGCATACTTTCCCAGACTGGTGGTCTGGTCTGCTGCAGAAATTATTCAGAAAGTACAGAAATTTCTGTAGTTCCGAGTGCTTAATGCCAGCCCTCTGCAGGGCACGATTAAAGAAAAAAAATAAAAATAAGAAACCAGGGGAAATGATCCTTAGGAGGAGAGACAGAAGCTGAGTAGGAGCATCCCGAGACCTTCCCCCATCCTGCATCTCCCAGAGCATGGCACTCAATTTTGAAGCTTCCTGGGCATCAGAGAGGACCCAGATAAGCCAGTCTGGCGCCAAGGTCAGTAAGGAAGGAATTCACCTCGCCCAATTCTTTGCTGCAGGCCACAGCAATGTAGGTCTCCACCTCCTCCCTCCAGGCTGAGCTCAGATGCATCACAAGGGAGACATTCACCCTTTGCAGGTGATAATTTTTTTAAATACCCCTGTCTGATCTCCTTCCTGCTCTTCAGAGCTACCAGCAGAGGAAGGCAGTAGATGATGATACTGAATTATCTCTGCCTCCCACGCAGGCTGGCTTTTCTTAGGCAAAGAAAAAAAAAAAACCAAAAAAAAAGTCATGAAGGGGATGAAAAATATACCAATTGAGAGTTTCTTGTAGCCAGTGGTGTAAATGAAGAACCTCCCATGATGGTTAGGTTTTGGGAGATGCACATATCCCAAACCAAAGATGGCTATCACTCTTCACCTCTCCACCTCTCCTTCTGGATCTGATAGAGGAACTAATGAGCTCCTTGTCTCCAGGCATTGTCGTGGTATCAGCACCAGCCCTGGCTCACAAAATTCAGAGCTAGGGGGGTCTGAGGACTCAGTGGGAGGGCAGCACTGCCCAAACCCAGTCCGAGAGCACGGACCACTCCTCTGGAATAACAAGAACTTGGCCAGACCCTGAAAAGGGTCACTGCAGCTTCTTGAAATATGTTAAGGCATTATTAAGTTCAGTGTCTGATGTAGTTCATGAACAAAAGCTGAACCCCTGTGATTTCTCAATCTTAAAATTCAATCTGATCTGACAGAACATTTTTTAAATAGCACTTTTGTCCAACGCCCTGTATGTAAAGACTTAAAAGTTCATAGAATTTGCTGCTCCAGTGATTTTCAATCTTTTCCCAACCTGTGGGCCCCTAAAACCTGCCCAGGACAGCACAGCCCCCCTGTATTGGGTATTTACAGCTACTAAAATAGGTTTACTAGTAATAGTAGGTTTACTACACCTCTCAGTTATTTTTTCACAATTCTTCAGGGATCTGAGGACTCCCAGGACCCACTGAAAACTCCTGCCTTAAACACACGAGACCCATGACACGAAGCAAAACCAAGGGAGCCAAATCCCATCCTCTGCTCCCAGGTGAAGTCTCCCCTTGAGAGCCCCAGCAGCCTCGAGCCTCACAGAGGCATTTCCTGGTATTTGTCCCCATAAAGTGTCACCACTCCGCACCGCTGCCGTGGCACGGCGCCAGTTTGCACCTTTGTTGCCCGAATGCGTCACCTTGCTGCTGATAACGCAATCTATGAACCGTGTTTGATTTTCACAGCCCGGTTTCCTGCCGTACCTCCTCGCCCACAGCCTCAGCAGGTTGTTTTATCCCTACAGACCACCTGAGGTTCTGGCTCGCTTGCCCCCCAGCTCAGGGACGGGAGAGCAGATACTCACTCCAGCCGTTCCTCCTCTTTTTTCCGCAAATCAAAGTCCCGCTGCACGACTTCCCAAACATGCTTGGCTTCTTCATCGGTGAGCTTGGAGAGGTCCAGCTTCCTGCCCATCTTGGAAGAGTGGAAGCCGATCCCGTTACTCGCTACCCCGAGCGCCGGCTGTCCCGTACCTTGGGATGTCGCTGACGGAGGGGGGAAGAGCTCAGCCCCACCTCCGCGGCCGCCCATATAACCGGGCAGGGGCAGAGCTGCGGGCAGGCCAGCCGGCTCCTGGCAGCACCGCCGCCGCTCTGCCGGGCGAGCCTGGGCGCCCAGCAGGGCTGGCACGGCGCCTATCGGCTGCGGGGACTCCGGCCCTGCCTTCCCCCGGGGTCCTGCCCGCAGCCGCTCCAGAGCTCGCCCGCCTGGCTGGGGCTACGGGAGATGTTTACTCTCAGCCTGCTCGATGTGTGCGGATGAAAGGGAGCCTTCGAACGCCTCTCCCCGGGGAAGGCAGGCCACGGGCTCTGGGAGGGAGGGAGGGAGGGAGGGAGGGAGCAGAGCATCCCCGGGAGGACCGGCTCCATCGCGGTGGCTCCTGCCCCCAGCAGGATGCTCTG